TTTCGACAGGAAATTGATCGATTCAGGGATAGTTAGTTTTTAATATTGTTTCGCTGGCGATCAAATTGAAAGGTGATTTGCGAAGGTAACGAAGCAGGTAAACGTCACCGGATACGATTTCGACGAAGAAATTCGAGAGGCGAATAGTCTGTTCCCTTCAAAGAAACTCCATCTATACGACGCGACGTTCAGGAAGTAACGAAGCAAACATGAAAGAAAATATCGTTATTGGATCACTGAAGAGTTCAGGTACAAAATTAAAGCGTGGAACAATCAATGTGAACAGCTTGAGAAATCGATCGGTGACTTACCTACATATACAGGGTGTTCGATAACAGGTGGGTAAAATTTTAAGGGTGATTCTAGGGATCAAAATAAGACGATAATCAAGAATAACGAAATAGTGTTTACGGCTTTGTTTTCCAATAATTAACAAGCAAAATTTTAAGGGGTGATTCTAGGGATCGAAATAAGACGAAAATCAAGAATAACGAAATAGTGTTTACGGCTTTGTTTTCCAATAATTAACAAGCAAAATTTTAAGGGGTGATTCTAGGGATCGAAATAAGACGAAAATCAAGAATAACGAAATAGTGTTTACGGCTTTGTATTCCAATAATTAACGTTTAAAAATTCGAGTAAAAAGCGCCTGAAACCTGCAACCCGCCCAGCACCGACGACTGAACGTCAGGTCAGCAGGGGTCTCCAGTACAATCATAACCAAGAATCGAAGCCGAATGCCGCAGTACCGAGAAACAGAATAGCACGAGGTAAGTTTCTACTATTCAACGATTCTTGGTTATGACTGTACCTTCCCCTGCTGATCTGACGTTCAGTCGTCGTTGCTGAGCGGATTGCAGGTTTCAGGCGCTTTTTATTCGAATTTTTAAACGTTAATTACTGGAAAACAAAGCTGCAAACGCTATTTCATTATTCTTGATTCCTAGAATCACCCCTTAAAATTTTGCCCAACTGTTGTCGAACACCCTGTATATACAGGGTGTTTCGTTTAAAACAGGCCACCTAAATATCTCCTCTATCTCTGAAAATACAAAAAATGTTTCTGACGTAATCTAAATGGTTTTATAAGACAAATCAGATGGAAGAACCGTTTTTTATAAATTGTAATTTTTTAATCGTTTTTTCAGGTCACTTGTGTTTAAATTTTAGAGTCCACGGTCACTTCAAGCTCGTGCTATTAAGCATGGATGAATGCACAATAATATTTGCTATAACATACAACAACAGAAAATGTGTGTACATACGTAAAAAACACGAGTGACCTAGAAAAAACGATCCTTCCATCTGATTCGTCTTTTGAAACCATTTAGATTACGTCAGAAACATTTTTTGTATATTCAGAGATAGAAGGGCTATTTAGGTGGCCTGTTTTAAACGAAACACCCTGTATTCCCTTTACCTCCTTTCGTTTCGACGACGGAAAGGACGATAGTTTGGTTAATAATATCGCGACATTGGATCGATAACGAGCCTTCAAATTCACGGCCGGGATATAGCGAGCAGTTAAAGTAATCGTAACGCGTTTGCCGATATCACGCGACGCGACGCCGATACCGCAACCGATTCCGTCCTCTCTTGGAATTATTTTATCGGCCGGCTGGGACTTCGATCGAAGCGTATTCGCGTTGAATACTCGGCTGGAAACGACGAAACTTTCTTTCTCTGCTCGAATGGAATTAATCGAATCCTTACTGTTCAATTTGACGAAAATAAATGTTTAGATAATTTTCGATACTTTTCGAAACAATTAGTAGGATTCGAAGATGAAACGAAGCGAGTGATCCGGTCAGCAGGCTTAAACGTCGCGACGCGACGCGACGGCCGCAAAATCGTCGCGTCGCGTCGAGTAACGAACTCGGATTAAGGAAATCCGTTTCCGTTTCGACCTCGAGGAAGCTTGGGGGTTTCCGTCGCCGCAACTACTACCTTCCGCTACGACTGACGAACACCGAGGTGAATTCAAAAAAATTCGAGCGATTTATCTTCACCGATTCGTCCGGAGGTAATTCGCGATTCGCGAAGGACGAAAGTAAAAACCGCGAGGTATCCCGGAGGGCAGTCGAAGAAAGGAATTTTTCCGCGTTTCCCGGGCGACACTGCCTTCTCAAAGGAAGTGGAAAGTTTCGAAAAGGAAGCCGTAGGCGACGGTAACAAGAATTCTATTTCGCTGTCTTCCGTATCGGCTGAGAAGCAGCCTCGCGGCTACCTCCTTTTATTTTTATCTTCTCCCTATCACTCGCGGCTATTCGACGTTTTTCCATTCGGGAAACACCTTGATTCGTCTAACAGCTCTTCTTCTCGTTCCTCTTCATTTACAAGCTCGTTGTTCGCGTCTGGTGAATTCGTACCCGTAAATCCTTCGAACACGTTCGTTCGGTATGAAAAATCCGGATATTAAATCCGTGAGTCGAGAACGGAGAAGATATAATTCACGGGAAAGCTGAGCAGCAAAAATTCTCAGCGTTCGTTAATCCAGAAACGACTGCGATTAATGTAATAATGCGATCTGATGGCCCTTAACGCTTCCGCGACTTCCTGCCTGCTGGATCCATTATGAAATCTACGTATAATTTGCCGCGTACGTCCTGCGACAGAACGAGACGGAAGATTTTAATTACAGCATTGTTCCCGGAATATAACAGGCCACGGTGACAGCCTGATGAATCTGTCGCAATAGAATGTTTCCACGTGGCAGAGATTGCTCGTAAGACGACCGAGTAATGAAACATCGATGATTTTCATTGCAAGCATCCCTGAACGGGTTAAAACGTCTAAAGGGAGGTTCGTGTTTCTTGCCCGCAGTATCTGCCACGTAAAAATCCGCGAACTGGCAAGTTTTTTCGATCCCATTTTTCTCTCTTCATTTTTCTTTTTTATTTTCCACGATGGTTTCAGCCTCTGGCCGGCTTTTGTCGTCGTTTTCCACGATAAAGAACGCCGACCCGCGTAGGCTTTGGAATAGAGATACAGGCCTGCTTTCCAGGCCTTTTTTGTCCCCTGGCCCGTGACGAAAAGCGTCCTGACGCTTTTATCGCCAACTCGCGTCTTCTCGGGGAACGAGAAACATTTGAAAATATCCGGACAGATGCGACGGTGACAGAAATTTCTCTCCTTCTCCGTGCTGGCTCGAACCGAATTACAACGTTATCGAAAGTTCTATCGCGAGAGAAGGTAAAGAAACTGTTCGATTCACCAGCGGTCTTCTGACAGGTGAATGGAAAAAATGTTGATTTCACAGCTGTCGATTGAAAGAAAAGTTGCAGTTGAAAAAGAAGCGATATTAATTTTTCGGATAGCAGCTGGCTGAAAATATTTCAATCAGGTAGCTATCCGATTTTCATACTTCCGTTTTATGGTAGCAGTCGGTTCGGACAAGTTCCAACGATCCATCTTTGAAGGGTTAAAGTTGCGAGGTGATTTTCAAAGATATTCCAAGCCTGTTGCCGGTCAGAGCGTTGAACTGAACTTTGAAATGGAATCACCGGGGACCGGAAATAAGAGCGACCTATTTCTTTCCACGGATATTGATCAAGCAACGGCCAAGTGTCTGAGAATCGACGACGCAGCGTTAAGTGCTCTCTCTTTCTCTCTCGGCTCGGCAAGAAATTCTTCCATCTCCTCCGGGTTGTTCGAAACTCGATCGGGCTCGGAAGTGAAATAAAAATGTTGAAAAATATTTTTAACGCCACCTTCGACGCCTGGGTAACGGGCCAATTTTCCGCGGAATCGGATCGTGCCGAATTTCTTTCGGTGGAAACAAGATCGGCAAAGTTACGAGGGAACTAATAGCAGCTGGTAACTTTTGCTCGTAGAATATAACATCGATCTGGAACTCGATCGAAGTTGCATCGTTGCCGCGTTCTCCTGTACGCTGTTGTTCGCTCCCTCGAAGGAAAATTCACGGGAAACTTTGACGGCATAGGGGCGGGCCTCGTTCGAAAGCTACGGCTATTATGATGTTCCGCATTCAGATTCAAATACCGTTCAACTTGCAGCTACAGGGATTGCGACGATTACCGGCAATAAATATCCAACTACCATTCGTCGATCGATTAATGTTCATCAAACTGATCCACCATTAGCGTTATTAACAAAAATTTCTGAATATCTTTCAAAGAGGAGCTTTTAAGAATTTCGTGGTATTAGAAGCGAAGCGAGCTAGAATCGATAAGAAACGGATATCGAGCCACGTCCTCTCGATTTCCGGTATCGATTGAAAGCTACGATGGTGTCGTCAACCGACGGAAGTCGAGAATCCTCCGACGTTCACCCCCAGAACTTTCCTCCCCTCCCATCCTCCTGTATAACTGATACTCGTTCGTTTTTTGAATCCTCGAAACAACGAACGATTTCTTTCCGAGCAACCGCTGTCGGTGAAGCACTAGCTGGCTGAACGAAGGGTGGGGAAAGAAGAACGGGTAAAAGGCGAGGGACGAAAATCGAGAATTTCAGAGGCCAATTATTCGGTCCACTCGAACAGCACCGCGGAAAATTAAACGGTTCGAGGACACTAGAAATAAATACTTCGCCCCTTTCGCGTCACCTACTCTCCGTTCGAGGGTGCTGGAAAATTACGAGTAGGTACCAGAGAGACTTTGAACAAAAAAAAAAAAAAAAAAATAGCAGAGGGAAACATTTCTGCCTACGTGTAATATATAGTCTCCTCGATTGGATTTTCGAGTGAGATTCGAAGCCGGGCCATTTCCTCTTCTAAACGACCTTATGTTAACCATTCGCGTTAATCAATTAATAATCGTTATCGATAAACATCCCAGTCGCTATAAATAATCGAACCGTCAATCAAGGGAAAAAAGTGGAAGGGAAAAAAGAATGATAAATTTTCCCGCTGTTTCTCGCGAAATTATGAAGACGAATGCGTTGTTTGCTTCGCCGAGGGGTTGCTTTCCACCCGTTCCGCGCAAACACGAGGAAATCTTTTAGAGCAGAGTAATAAATAAATAAAACTGATTCTGTTTCAGACACGCATTGGCCGGTTTTCATCTGCGTTCTCATGGCGACGACGGTACTTTCCTGTCGGCAGAGCGAGTTCCAATGCGGCAACGGCCGCTGCGTCGCCCAGAACAAGGTGTGCAACGTCGTCGACGACTGCGGCGACGGCAGCGACGAGCCTCGACAGTGTTCTCGTGAGTACCACCTTTACGTTTCAGCAATTTCTCTTATCGATACTTAACTGTATTTACTGTATCAGTGGGAACCGAAGGGTTCGGATAGCAAGTTCGTAAGGGGATTCGGATGATTCTATTAACGAGTGATTTCTATGGATGTTATAATAGCGAAAGATGATTCTATCCGACAAGCCGCGCATCAATTATCCAAAGTTTCGTCGCCAATCAAAGTTGGTTCGCCCGCTGGCATCATGCGGCCGACGCGGATTAACTCGGTTTCCAGGCTAACTCGATTTCTACTCGCGTCTGTTCGCTTCCGGCGTCGTTTCGTCGTTTGCATCGAACCACTGCGAGATGTATAGACATAAAAATTTACCCGAGACACTCGGTCTCCGGGTATTTTTAATGAAAAATTAAATTTAGCAAGTTTAATCTCTGGCAAAAGTGTACGCGTTTCCAGCGGGTCTGGGTCACCGAGCAGATTGACCGAGCTTCCTCGTTCCAGTATTAAACCAGGCACACAATAACGCATTGAAGCCTCTCTAACAATTCTATTCCAATTATCATTTCTGAATAAGTTGAAATAGAGCTCGTTCTGAATGCGCCACGAACAATAATGGAACTTCTTTGGTCTCGTTAAAAAAAAAAAAACCGCCTATATAGGGTAGGTAAAAAAGTTTTGCGTTACAGCTCGACCTTCGACGTATTTTCTCGAATCGACACAATAATTAGTTGGAGATCTGAGGGTAAGAATGATGATCCTCTTGCATACGGGACGGCGCGGCGCGGCGCGGCGCGGCGAGGGCAGCAACGTTTCTCTCGACTCATTGTCAGCTTGAATGCGGCAACCGATCCTCTTTCTCATTGTTCCTGCCGGGCCACGATTCGAGCTGTTTCAAAGCCGCCACGATTCCCGATTGTCGTCGACTCGAAACTGTTTCCACTTCGTTAGAGAGCCTGTCCTCGATTTCTTTCACCTTCGTTCCTGCGCTTTCAGAACGTTTCGTTCGTATAATTACGATTTCCCCGGGCTCGAGAGAAAATTTGCAACTGGACGGTATAAAAATAGTTGGAGAACGAATATATATCAATATGCCTTCGCGGTAGGATTTCTTGGTTTTACGAGAAATGTCTTGACGGAATCGTTGGAAAGACAGGGGATGTGTTTCCCTTACTCAGACTGGCTGTTATCGACAGACGGTGATAAAATAGGGTAGTTTGGTCGGGAAATCGGTGGGCAAAAACGCGTAGCCCGATGCTGTGCCTCTAATTTTTTTCCTGATTTATTCCTTTCTTGCCGGGAACGATCCATTAAACAACGTCGTACATTACCGATCAAATCAGGCTTCCATAGTGAAAACGGCGATACAAGGGGATGTAGAAATAAATTTCATCGATTCGTCCGCGGTATATTAATGTGTAACTGTCGCTTTGAAACGGTCAACGTAAACACGGGAAGAGAAGGTAACCGAATGTTTCATTACTGGCAAACAGTAAAGTAAGTATACGGCAGCCCGCGAGTCGCGTTAGGAAAAATATTTGCCTGTTTGTTCGAGGCAAGCTCGGCGAGAAAACAGTCGGAAAAATTAATGACGCGTTTCATCGGCGCTGTCGGTTGCCGTTGGAAAACTTTGAACAGCAAAGTCTCTTTTTCTCGATCGATCGTTGAGTGGAAGACAATGGAATAGGAAGAAAATGAACGAGAGTTTGTGCGATAAGCACTTTACTGTTATTTTACTGTTATCTTAAAGAAGGTAGCAGTTAGTTTGTAATAGACCTTGCAATAAAAATAATATGTGTGACTGAAGATCGCTCTGTTCACACTTTTCTCCTACTTACCCGTAGGAGACGCGTTTAAATAGCAAATGGTCGTGCAACGATCCTCCAGGAAGTTCAGCAATATAGAGAATCCACTTAAAACGAAGATAAACTCGCTCTCTGCTCGCATTGTCTCTAGCCCTGTATAGCGTAGAAACAGGCTGGAGGTGGTCTGTAAACCGCAGAAAATGTCGTGCCATTACAAACGGGACTGCTCACAGGCTTAATATTCGCGACTCAGCCCAGGATTAAGGGAACTAGAGCCTCGAGTGAAATTCACGGTTCCCTAAGGAAACGAGCTCTCCTCTTCCCTGTACACAGCTGGCAATAAAACTCGTTCCTCGGTTATACGTACGTAAAACACACTGGTAGCCACCTATCCAGCCTCGTCGCTTTTAACCCTTTCGCTCGGCTCGTTTCCCTTTCAATTTCGAACGAGATAAAGCGGTATAAAGGTGAGCTCATAAACAGTAAGAGGATATAGGTACCACAACACCTTTCCCTTCAAATTATCTTAGATACCGTTAACGAGCTTTTCTTACTTTCAAATACGCGTTTTCGCGAAATCTCGTACGAATTGATTAACATACGTTTAACCAGCCGCCGCCGCATGTACCAGGTTCCTTAAATAATTAACAAATACTCCGCGAGAGAGGATTAAACGTCGGTGGCAATGGTCTATTTAAAGAGTGGCTCAGAAAAGGGAGCTTTAAAGGATCTAGTACTTTGAGTGCTCTTCCTCTCTCCCTTTCTCTCGCGTTCAACGAGCTTTTCTCCTCCTCTCCTTCTTCGTTTCCCTGCTATTTCACGTTTTCGGTTCGCTTTTTTTCACCCCACGTCGCGTCGCGTCGGTTTCTTAGAGAAGAACCAAGCAGCCTAACTTCTCCGACGCTTTTTAGCGACGGTCTAGAGTGAAAATTACAGCGGGTTCGCGTAATTCTGCTCGAATATTATTCAACCCGTCCGCGTACGTTCACTCGAATACGAACGTAGAAATAATTCGTTGAACGAAGCCGTGCGTCTTCGGGCGCAAGAAAGGAGATTTATCGCCGTCTGCGAAAGAAACTTCCAACCCGACGCTTTTCTTTTTTACTTTCGTACGATTTTATTTTCGGTTACGTCGGCGATACATCTTTGGATAATTGCTAATGGAACGAGCGTTGATCTTCCTTTAAAAGAAGTCGCTTTTAGAAGAGAGTATTCCGGCCCCCGTTGCCTTTCATAATCTTGCTGAAGTCAAATTCTGTAACAGAACAGCGAAGAAACGTGACTCGGTGAAAAAGTAGCGAATAAACACGCTGGTATAATTACGTGGAAAACCAGCTTTCTTTCTCGTCGATGAAACACTCGCATTGTTCTCCTCGTCAACAGCCATTTCTTCCTCACCCTCCATCGCGTTGGATATGTTGGAACACTCGCAAAAATCATGAATCGATCCACCGAACATCGATATCTGATCGTCTGATGGTAGAAGAGCAGATTAAATAAATAGATGTCAGAAACATTGAAATCGTAGGAGAAAAGGGGTCAGGGATACCTTTCATATTCATACTGTTATCCACGCAGAAGCTTAGATCGCTGCTGTCGGAATAATCGTAATGCCGAGGAGTGAACATACTCGAGGGATTAGGATTATCTTGATCGAGTTGCCTCGCAGGGGACGCGTAACAACGAACCGATGCGGCCTTCGTCGTCCTGGCCTCCGGATCAGGTAATTGACTGCTTCTCGAGCGGACTAGAACGGAATCGTGCCGTGGAAAAAGTTTCGGTGTTGGAGAAATTGAAACATACCGAGTGGATTGAGATTTGCTTTATCCGTTTGCTTCATCAACGAAGACACGTTATACCGAATGGTCTCGATCTTGGCGATTCGTGGGCCAGACGTCATCGGCTCGACTAGCTGACTTCTCTTCTTTTCAGCTCGAACGGCTTTCGATTCGGTAGTCTGTGACGCCTTCTCCTCGTCCTGGATCAGCTTCGTTCTCTTCACCGGCGGCTCCTCGAACCCATCTGTTCGATCTCCGCTTCGTTGAACTGTTTGCTTATCTTTGGAAACGCTGGACGTCAAGGCGAGCTCCTCCAAAGGTTCTTGTTCCATTTCCTCGTCGGCAGCCGGATCGATTGCTAGCCCATCGTTCTCCTCCATTTCCCTGGCTACCTCGTTGAGTTCCGCTTCCTCTTGATCATCCGGATCCGGCGAAGGACTCCTCGATTCATCGATCAGCGATGCCGAAGCATTCGGATCGTTCTCCTCGCAAAGCTGAGACAACTGCACCAAGTTCCCCTCGGCCGTGCACATCTCCTCCAGCACCATCGTGTCCACCGACAGCGAATCTATCGTTCGATATCAAAATTCATACGACGGCAATGAAATCGCGCGATCAGATGAAGAATTATGAGAGAGGAACCTATAGAATTCTCGTAATTCTTCTTCCAGCCGTCCGTGAAGCCGGTTTTCACGGCTCTCCGCCCATAAATCGAGAAATTAATCCTTGGCGGTGGCATTTCCAACATCTTAAGCGCTCGTTTCCTCTTCTCCTCTTCCTTCTTCTTCATCCGAGCAGCTAGCTGGACGAAGGAAAGAAGAAATCAGACAAGAAGACGCACAGTGCGAGACGAGGTATCGTTGATAATTGAAAAAAAATACCTCCGCATTGGCGACGATCAGTTCCTCTTTGCACTTCTCGATGCTTCTCTTCAAATCCTCCAACGTTTGATCGAGTCTCAGACCGTTTGAAATTGCCCCAGCAAATTCTACTATTTTGTCGCGCGTTCTCAACCAGCCGATGTGTTCTTTCGACTTCCGTGTCTTCTCCAACTCGTTGATCTTGTATTCGATCACCATTTTGTCCACGCAAAGCTTTTCCAATCGCGTTTTCGCCTCCTTCCTCGTCTTAGCCAATGGAAACTCTTCGTATTTTGCCTAGAAAATATTCATTGTTCTTCGATTATCTTAACAGAACGCCACCCATTCGATTGTGCAATTTACTTACGTGATACGCTTGCCAAGTTTCTTCGTATTCGTTGCAGATATTTTCAAATTGATCGCACTCCATCTTCATGATTTTATAATCACTGTCCAGGTTAAGTTTCATCAGTTCGATTCTTTCGGATATTTCGTTGATATATTTGCTCTGTCTATATCGATAACATAGGATAATAAAAAATGACAAGTAGATTTAAATTCACCTTTAGAATCG